CATCATAATATAAGAAGCTTTTTGATGCTCTCATTCCTCATGTATATGATGAAGATACTATTCTGGCTCATCTGACTCTAAAATGACCCTTACCTCCAGAATTCCCATAAAGGATGGCTACACATTTGATGATTTATTTTATTTAAAATACCCATAGAAATACTAAAAGTGATACATTGAGGGATAGATTCTAAAAATAAATGTTAATCCTGAATTCAATAAACTTCTAAAATATTAATTTACATCAACAAAACAGCAATTTACGTAACATCACACACATCAATGAATATGAAACTCATAATTACATTTGTTCTTTTCATTAGAATTCTGTTGTGAATAGTTAGGTCAAATGATAGTGAGGCATAAGTTCTCATCCAGAGGGGATGATTTCAGACTATAAATCCTTGTAGTATCTCTCAAAGTTTAATTAGTGGTTTGGGACCCATGGTCCCTATGGTGTTTCCGCTATAAACAAGTCATAAACCCAATCTAAGAACGTATCCTTATTGGGAACCCTGTTGTTCTACATTATTGCTTGTCCTTTGGATTTAATCTTTATAGCATGGGATCACAGTAAGAGTATTATTTTTATAGCTCTGAGTATGCAGTAATATAAAGGAAAAACATGCCAATCCAAACTCCTGCACCTTATAAGGGACTATTGATGTTTTCTTCTCCCTCAATTGGCAGTCTCCCCTAAATTTTCTCAATCATTTTTGCTCTTTACATTATAGTAGATTAGTAATTGTTATCATGCAAAAACAATAGATCAGAGGAAAATAAAACATCTGAGAAGAGACTGGATTTCACAAAATATCAGGTATTCCAGAAATCTTTCTGTCATTGTATGTGTTTAAAGCAGTAACCAGGGTGCCTTGCCTTAGTGATGTTCAAAATTGTAACTACTGTGAGAAAAAGCAATTTGGAACACATTTTCATATAAGATCAGCCAAATACATTAATGTAATTGTTTAATTTAAATGCTTCACTAATCTTCATCAAAAATTAAAATTTCCGTAAAATTTGTGTAGCAATTTTCAGTCATCATTCTAATAGAGTTTAAGTATGACTCCAAACTTAGCTTATCTGCACTACCAGATGTATCTGCACTCAAGGTCACGTAGCTTTCTGAAGTATTGAAATGTAGTTGTTTCTTCCAAAATACGTCTAAATGTCCTGAAAAGTAGCTTCATGTCAAGTAAATTATGGTACAGTGATCTCTAATCTCTTTAACTGAGGATTGCAAGCCAAGACCATGATCCTCAAGCATCTCTGAGAAAAGCCAAGGGATCTTTAAAATTCTATATAGTCTGGTGGAGTGATTTATTTTAGAAAATTTTACTGTCTAGAAAATATTGGCTAAGATAAAATGAAAGGTTTAATTTTTCAGTTATTAAAAAGGATAAGCAAGACATTCTTTCTATTAAAAAGGGAAAAAAAATCTTACTTACAGTTGACAATCAATTGTTTCATAAAACAAGGGAGAGTGATGAAATTCCAAATAAACAGACTAGATTCAAAATATTTATGATTAAATAAGGCAAAACCCAGAAGCATGGTATTGAATAGAATTTAGAGATACAGCCAATCAAAGCTTTCAGATAAGTTGAAAATAATTTAATCAGTTGAAATATGAAGATAGGAAATTTCAGGTTAAAATGAGGCATGAACAATAGCATATTAATGTAAACTGTGAATTTTAAATCTAGGTTAATGTCATGCTGAATATTCATAATTATATTCTTAAATATAGTACTCATAATTACATTCTTGATTCAGAAAACACACAAAATTCATCCAGAGTCTCCGAAACTATTCAGTGTTGAGACATTGGGAGAAAAAAAAGGGTATGGATTTCAGACTTGTTGAAAGTCTATATTTTTCTTTGATACATGATTGTTATATTCCAGATAAACAAAAGTATACATATTAGTGCAGTGCTCATTATGGTCCAAAATCTACTCCAAAATTTCTTATATTGATAAATACATTTTTGTTCTTCAAAATACATATAGTTTCCCTGAAACCGTTTCTTAGATACCTCTTGTATCATGTCCTCCTTTGTGCATCTCAGAGAATGAGAACTTCTAAAGCTGGTGTGTACTTTATGTATTTATTAATTAATTGAAGATACATGGGTTCAAATTTAATACTTACCAGTGTATTTTTTGACACATTGTATTACACAAACAATATTATTTTGTCTTTTTCTTTCAACTTTTGTTGTTGAAATTTTGCAATAAATTGATATATGAACATCACATGTGTCAATTTCCCATAGAAAAACACATTTGTTCCTCAGCTGTACTTCATGGTTTATCATAGTGTATTTTTGTTGCATTGTTGTAATGTTTGGCATTGACTTGAGGGCAATGAGAGTGACTGGGTGAGTACAATAAATACACAAACTTGCTCAGTCTTCCGGAGCATACTTTTTGAAATGGAAATGCAAAGTAGAAGTGAATTTTGGGAGATACTGCTGAACTATCCACTAAATGGGTTGCACTAATTTTCTCTCTTATGCTCATTTTTTCTTCTTTATTTTATTCAGTAAACATATATGATTGAGTATGTACCAGGTATAGAGCTAATGCTATAGAATAGTAACAAAAGAATCATAATTTCCCTTCTAATGAAGAAAAAGAAACCAATAGAGTAAATAAGAAATATATAGTAATTTATGGTATATGTACATAGTCGGTTAGATGATTACATATATTATAAAAACAAAATAAAGCAAGGTGGGAAGGTCAATAAAATGGGTATATGTTTTATTCTATCGAGATTGAAAACACTGATGAGTCAGTCAGAATGGATTAGTCTATGCTGAAATAAAAGAATAAATAGAAGAATATACATCTTTGTGGCTGCACAAAAATAAATAAATGAATGTTTATTTCACGACCACCTTGAATATTTGGTAGAGGTTATGGAACATCTTTCATCCAAATCTACTTGGGGAAAATGAAATACTTGGTTGCTATTTCATCAGTGTATTTTTTTAATTGTTTATATTTATTCTATTTATGAATTGAAGTATAATAGTCTTGGGTTTGGGAACCTTATCATGAACTTAGAGACACAATTGAGAATGTAAATTTTCCATGTAAGTTTGAAGTGGGCTTTGAAATCTTACAGTTGGCATGAAGAAAGGTCTTGAACTGTAGCTATAATCCTACCACTTATAGTCGCTATACTTGGTAACACTACAGTATACCTTAAGCTGTGATTGCATAACAGGGTGGTACAAATGAGCGAATTTGAATACAGAATATAGTAAGGCAAGAAGAAGGATCAGAATGAATTCTGGGTTCCACTTCTGGTTACAGTATTTATATGCACTGCATGAATCTGCCTTTTTACATTCAGTTGCAGTTTTTACAAAGAGTGTGCATCTCTTTAATAAGCATCCACTACGTACATATTTACTAATAATGTATAATTTCCTTATGACCAAAATGACTTTGGATTTTAATAACTGTGCCATCTACAGGTTAATTATATTCAGTCACCTTCAGTGGAAAGTTGTGATGTAGCTCAAAAGAATAAATGGAAAAATCAATCATCAACAATAAAAATTATGGATTATAAAAAGGATGAGCACCAGGGAAGAATGTGGGGAATATGAATAAGAAACCCTAAATCCCAAATGCACTTTCATGAAGTTGATTCCAACTCATAGCAACTGAATGGTTTCCTCTAAAATATCTTATAATTCTATCCCTGGTAGCTGGGAAAATGAACTTTTAAAAAAATATTGCCTTTTAAGATTTTATCAGTTAAATTAACAGGAGGGCATGAGACGTTAAAGGGGCTTCTTTGTTCACATTAATTGGTGTAATAGCCTAATAAAAGGAAGAATAGACACCTCGAATCAAAGAAGAGACAGCCGTGTGAAAATGTTTCTGAAAACCAAAAGGTGCCTGTATCCACCAGTACTTGGAAGAGAGAAGAAAACATATTGTCCCAGAGACTTCAAAGACAATCTGACAACGGATCATGTTGATTTTGCCCCATGAATCTTGAGTTAATAAGATTCTATTATTATTTCCTTAATAAGCATTATTTGATTACAGCAGCCCTAAGATATTAATACAAAAATTAAAATAAATAGTCACTCAGAACATATTTAAAATATCGCTTGCTTTTTCAGACAACTGTAGTTTTTATCTCTGTGATAGTTTGAAGAACTTTGTATTTTAGCTAGCCGAATTAATATTTGTTTTATAATATAATTTTACCATGTGACTATGGATAAATAAACATGTGATAATTTCATTTTGGGATTATTAAGGGGACCATTCAAAATACTGATGCTTTTTCACCAAGTTCCCTTGGAAATGAGCTGATCTCCAAGGAATTGAGCTCTCCCAGTGCTCCTGCTCATTGACTTACATCATGTAAGGAACAGTTGGATATGATTGCAATATGTTAGTGATGGTACCGTATTTAGTAGAGGATATCATGGATAAAATCTGCTTAAGGACATGTCATTGGACTCTCAGGTTTGGGGAGAATTTGAGTCATGGTATTAGTTCTATTAGTATGAAAAGGCTTTAGTATCAGCTATAATCTCTATTCCTTGTTGCTTTTGATGACATAGTGTATCTAAAAGTACTTTAGTGAACTGCTTAATTTAACATTCACTTGGTGTTTTGAACTTGATAATTCATGGTTTATTTAGTCTTTTTAACCATCTTATAAGGTAAGGTTTATTGGTTTTAAATTACATTTGTATAACTAGCATTTATCCTCTCTTCATACACTTTCTAAGAGATACCCGTTACAAGTCTGCTTGTTATTTGACCCTAGATAGCTGCCCTCAAATGTGCTCTCTAAATCTTAATATCATCATTCCATAAAAGTTTCTTTAAATTTTGGGGAAAATAGTTTAAAACAAAGGTGTTCATTTAAAAATGTTATGAAAATCCTATATATGTGAAAAACTTAAACACAATGACACCTATTTTTTCTCCCAGGCGAAAATTCTAAGCTGAGACATGTACCCAGGGAATCAAACCTCAGAAAATCAAAGTTCAAGCACCTATTTCATCCTCACGGGACTCTTTGATCAAACTAAATATGCAGTCTTCCTCTACACCTTAACCTTTGTCTTTTTCTTGATGGCCCTTATTGGGAATGCCCTTCTCATCATTCTGATCTACAGAGAGCCCCGTCTCCACACTCCCATGTACTTCTTCATCAGTCAGCTCTCCCTTATAGACCTCTTGTACATATGTGTGACAGTCCCTAAGATGCTCATTGACCAGATTACCGACGATAATACAATCTCCCCTGCAGGTTGTGGAGTCCAGATGTTCTTCTACCTGACTCTCGCAGGAGCTGAGGTGTTCCTCCTAACTGCCATGGCCTATGACCGATATGCTGCCATTTGCAGACCTCTCCATTACCCACGGCTCATGAACCCGAGAGTCTGCCGGCTCTTCATGTCAGGATACTGGCTCCTGGGAATGTTTGATGGTGTGTTGCTAACCCCAATGACCATGAGTCTGCCTTTTTGTGAGTTCAGGAAAATCATGAACTTTTTCTGTGAGGCCCCTGCCCTGCTGAAACTCTCCTGCTCTGACATCTCACGCTATGAGATGTTCATGTACCTGTGCTGTGTCATCATGCTCCTCGTGCCCACCATGATTATCACGAGTTCGTATGCTCTCATCGTGCGCCTCATTTACAGCATCAAGTCCACTGAGGGCCGCAGAAAGGCATTTGCCACCTGCTCCTCCCACATGGTGGTAGTGCTGCTTTTTTTTGGTGCTGGCATATACACCTACATGCTCCCAAGATCCTATCACACAGGTGAGCAGGACATGATGGTTTCTGCTTTCTACACCATCATCACTCCTGTGCTCAACCCCCTCATTTACAGCCTCCGGAACAAAGATGTCACAGAGGCTTTGAGGAAACTGATACCATCAAGGATGAGACTAAGAAACGTTGTGAATGGGAAAACCTAGGAATGATCATCTCTCACACTTCCTCCTTACTCGTATGTCCTCTTATTCATTTCTCTGTTTCCTGAGCCCCAGGAAAAAGTTCTGTAAGAATGTCTCTCTCTCTCATTCATGAGTCACTTTTCTTTTACACTGTTTATGCATCCTGAGTTACCTTTCTATATAAACTGCTTTGAGATCATTTATGATACAGTAGCTTATATCATTTAACCCATAGCAAATGACTTGTATCTGATCATCAATTCCAACATTAGTGAAAATTTTAGTATGAGATTTGGAGCATCAATATCTTAACCCCAGAAGTGAATCACTGTAGTGTCTTGGAAAGAAATTGGCTGTTCGCTCCCTTTGCAAGTCCCCCACGTCATGGTTGACTCGTGCCAGTCACTTCACAGAATGCTGCAGTGGCGCCTTCAGTAAGTGCAGCTACACAGACTGTGTGTCCAAATGTCGAAATGTTCATTGCATGGGTAACTTAGGCTTTCCATAGCATTAGGCAGTCAAAATTATCTGGGTTAAGTAATTGATCCACATTAAAACTAAATTAAGTTAAAAAGTCAAATTAAATTTACAGATTTTAGGGCCATAAATAGAATAGTGTCACTATTATATTTTAGCCTCGAGTTAAGGTATAAAATATTTGAGTTGAAGAGAGATTTAACAAACTTTACTCTCAGTGTTTTACTTCTGAAACTGGAAACCCAACATAATGATTTTGGCTATGTAACCAGATTATATTTTCTCTAATATCTATCATGCTGGAAATCTACCAGGAGCATCAAATTATTATTAAATTTATAAGTCAAATTATTAATGATTCTGGTGCTTCTGACATGCAATAAATTAAGAAACAACATATTTGCTAAGATGGATATAAATGATGAGATCAGTCCCCAACTTATTAGGTTCCCACCACTTGGTACAAAACCATAACTTTAGTTACTTAATTACTATTGAGTAATTACTTAATTACTATCAAGAAAAAAACTCAATTTTTATGATTGGTACAATCTTTAGTGATTTATAGATTTTTTTTCTGATGCCTAAGATGAATACTTTGAATTCTAAAGTGATTTCTGTAAGGTGTAAAGGAAATTTATATAAATTTCAAACAAACCCTCAAAAATGAACAAAAGGGTAACATTTGAAAAGCTAGAGAAGCTTTTTTAGAGGTCAACAAAACTTGGTTTTGAAAAAAATGTGATAAAAGTATAAATTAAAGTAGCAGTAGTTCCAAAGAGTACATAATTTATGAAAGGCAATGAGAGCATGTTTTTCATATTACCTCATTAGTAATAATCTTGCTAATTAGCCTTATATATTATGTCTTCATAGCTATCATTATTTATTTAAATGTTGAATGGAGATGTTGTTTACTTGATTGTTTGTTTTGACATTTTTGTTTCTCCAAAGATACCATGGTAAAAAAGCTAAAATCTCGACTTTGAAGTGGTTACACTTTAGGACTCCTAACCAAAAGTTCAGCAGCTGAAATCACCAGCTGCCCCCGAGAGAAAGATGAAGCTTTTTACTCCCATAAATATTTATAGTATCATAAACCCACAGGGGTAGTTGTGTTTAGTCCTATAGGTCACCAAGAGTCAGAATCTACTCAATGTCAGTGAGTTTGTTTTGGTTTTATACTAACATTTAACCAGGTTACAGTTAAAAATCAGTCCATTTTGGATTTAGTTTCTGATCTTTCTACTTAAATCTAAAAAGTTGTATAACATTTATAAGTTTTCCTAACGCCTTGAAGATCCCATTAAAACCTACTTAAGATCAGGCAAACAATTTCCTACAATGCTTTGAAGATTAAGTGATGATGGTATGCACAACAGTCACAGTGGTCAATGCAATATGGAAATTGGCACTTTTCTTCTTTTTGTAACTCTGAATTACACGTATCCCCTACCAAGACCAATCAAAAAGCCAAATCACTGCCAACACATGAATACCAACTCACTGTGAACCTGAAAGTCAAGGCAGAATGACACTTGTTAGTTTCCAAGACTGTCACTTTTTTTTTCAAAACCATTTTGGGGGGTGTTCATAGAGATAGCATATTAATCCATAGTTCAGTCACATCAAACAGCATTGTACAATTGCTACCACAATCACTTTTAAAGCATTCTTTTCCTTCTTGAACTCCTGGACAGAGCTCCCTTTCATGGAAATATAAAGCCTTTTCTTTGCTCCGAGTAAAAGCTGGTGAGCTATGAACTGCTGGCTTTGTGGTTATCAGCAACCAGGGCTCCTCAAGAGACTTGCCTTCAAACCATGGAACTTATTGACTAGTCAGAGATAAATATAGGTTGAGATACTATAATTGTTTTTCAGCAGCTTTAGTGAAGATAATTTATTGCAGTGCCTTCCTACTTTTTATATAATTTATATATAAACTAGCAATATAAGTATAGTTCAAGGGCTTTGAATATTACCTGAGTCTATTCCATTCAAGGTGTGTTGTGAAGAGCCTGGCCTACTGGAAGCACTAGACAACTATTAATCCCCTTCGTCTCCCTCCTGCATATAGAAACTGAAGACCAAGCATTTAAAATACATATATCATCATGTTCATGTCTTTCTCATACTTTAAAAACCATCCCAACCAAAATCGAACCCATTCATGTGGCATCAATTCTGATTCATAGTGAACTTGTGCTAATCATTGTGGAAGCAAATCGCCACCTCTTTCTCCCAGGGCGTGTTTGATGGATTTAAATTGCCAATCACCTTTCAGTTAACACCTGGAAACTCAACCATTGTGCAAAAAGCCTCTTTTTTGAAATCAAACCAATATCATTAAAAAACAACAACCCTGTGTTATATCATGTTTAATAAATTTCTTCGTTTACTTAGACTCATTTGGAACTTAAAAACGTCTAAGTTGGACCAAATTTAATAGTACCTGTCAACAATAGCAACATATTCAAAAGAGTAGATTTACATGCAAAATCAAGTACCTTTGGATACAGACTTATTATTATAAGTATTGGCAAGAACTTGAATTTAAGTGCCTAATTCCTTGTGAACAAAATATTTGTTTATTGTCTTGCAATTGTACATATGGCATATTAGCTATAACATCATTTTCATTAAAAAATCAAAATTATTCCAGCTCTGAAATATAATGTAAATTATATGGATTTTTTTCACCACATTCCTTTCCCTGAATACAAAATGTTTTGTATTAATTATAATATTTTGAAAATACTTTTTACCTTGACAGAGAAATTAAATGGTTAATGCCTTCATTTTGTTGTTTTTTTAGCAAAAATTGAGGCTAACATTAAACCAAAAATGCCAAATTTACATTAAAATTTAAATAGTTTCTAGCTCCCTTCAAAATGTATATGCTATATTTAATATTGGATAAAAGATAAATATATCTATTAACTTTTTAACATGTTCAACTGATAGTACTAGTTATTGATTAGATTTTGAGTTTAGCTCCATATATTTTTCACAGATTGGTGTGGGCCGAGAGGGATGTTAGCATATTTGTGAATGCTTTCATACCACGTACGGCAAGCACTAGAGTCAAAAATGAAACTACAGTGTGGTTTTAAGCTATTTTTACTTACAAAACAAAAGAATATGGCTATTTTTCCAAATCTCATGTCAAATTTCTTAAAGTAGATGCATTAGAAAAATTTAGATGATAAAGACAAACGAGAACAATAAACCCTGAGTGATGCTTAAAAGACAGTGAAAGCGAGAGCAGAGAATGAGTTCTGAACCATCCAGTTACTTATTTTCTAACTTTAAAAATGCTTTGCTTTATTTGCATAATTTTAAAATAGAGTAATTTAATTTTTTTCAAAATGCATTCTTAATTTTATAAATTTAAACATTTAAGACAATTGTGGTCCCAGAGAAAAGATTAAATGTATCATAGACTACTGAAAGGAAAAACTGGTATGATTTGGAGGAAATAGAGTTAGAATGCTCTTTAGAGGCAAGGATGGCAACACTTCACCTTACATACTTCGGACATTGTCAGGGGAGACCAGTCCCTGAAGAGGGATATCATTCTTAGTGCAGTGGAGGACCAGTGAAGGAGAGGAAAGCCCACAAGGACAAGGATTGACACGCTGGGCTCAGGCACAGGAAACATTGTGAGACAGTGCAGTGTTTCATGTTGTTGTGCACAGCGTCATGCAGGGTTGTAACTGACTCTCTGCTACTAACAACAGCAAGTGTGCCGGAGCAGCGTCCATCTGCTCTCATAAAGATTTATAACCTTGAAAGCCCTATACAGTGTCTTTATTTGTTAGAAATAGGAGGAGCTCTCAGGAGCATGTGCGTTAGTTACATGCTGGACTGCGAACCATAAAAGCAGCAGTTCAAAACCATGACCTGCTCCATGAAAGAAAGAAGATACTTTCTACTCTTGGAAGGATTTATAGTCTCAGAAACCCACAGAAGCACTATTTCTCGGTCTTGGAGGGTCTTTGAGTTGGAACTGACCTGTTAGTAGTTTTGTTTTGCTTTATTTTTAGTCAAAATTGATTCAGTGTCAATGGATAGGTAAGCAACAGTATAGAATTTGACTCTGGACCACGTTAATAAACTGTTATAGATAAAGTTAGGAAAATTGAATAAAGATATTTGGATGTAAATGTATAGAGGGTAAATCAAAAGGTACTGTGATTAGGTTTCCAGTTTATTGCAAACAAAATGTGTGTCTGATCAGAGGATGGCTGCAGACCAGTTCTGTCCGTAATGCACTTACCCTATTAATGCGCATTCCATGTGTCAGTCAGTTTGTCATACAGTGGTGGCTTATGTGTTGCTGATGCTGGAGCAATGTCACTGGTATTTAGCAGAGCTTCCAGAGGAAGACGTAGAAGAGGACTATGAAGAAGAAATATGCTGTCTACTTCTGAGGAGTTAGCCACGGAAAACGTTCTGGACAGGACTGAAACATTTTCAGATACTCAAAGCCTCATGAAAAGAAATAGAACACTCTTGGAGACAGTGCCGGAAGACGAACCCTTCCTGTTGGAAGATGCTCAATGTATTACTGAGGAAAAGCTGCCTTCTCAAGGTAGAGTTGATCATAAGGATTTGGATGGTGTAAAGCTTTGGACCTGCATTTTCTGATGGGCCATTAAAAATGAGAAGAAACAGCTGCAAAAATCAATTAATAACCACAACTTTCATCAATTAATTACACGAAATGTGTACGTATGAAAATTTGAAGTTGTGAAAAATGAAATGGATGCATAAAAATTGACATTCTAGACATTAGCGAGCTAAAATGGACTGGCTTCAGTCATTTTGAATCAGAAAATCATATGGTTTGACACATGATCAACAATTGGCCTCGGTGATAGATATGAAGGTGGATATAGCATGATAGAAACTTGCAAGACCAATGACTTGTTCATAGAAAATACCTTTCTCCAACAACACACAATGTGAAATACATGTGGACTTCTGCAGATGGAATGAACACAAATAGAATTGACTACATGTGTGGGAAGAGAAGATGGAGATGCTCAACATCAGGCCAGGGGCTTACTGTGGAACTGTCTGCTCACATGTATGTCCAGGCTGAAGATGAAAATTAAATCAAGTCTCCATAGACAAAACACAACTTTGAAAGTGTCTCAAGAACAGAGTTGATGCATCCTACACTCATGACAAAAGACCTGGAGAGCTGTGGGATGCCATCAGAAGCACCCCACAGGAAGAAAGCAAAGGGAACGGAAAAGACAGGACTGTAAGAAGAGATCAAAGCGGATGTCCGAAGAGACTCTGTAACTAGTTCTTCATCTCAGAGAAGCTAAGGAAAATGGCAGAAATGATGAAGCCAAGAACTTAATAGAAAATTAAAAGGTAAGGATTATACATTATGTAAAATAATATAATGAAATGTACAAATGCCTGGAGTTAGAAAATCACAAAGGAAAAACTAATTTAGTAAAACTTAAACTGAAAGAGCAAAAGAAAAAAACCTCAAGCTTGGAGTTACAACATGGTAAGATTCTAAGCAAATATTGAATAATGCAGGAAGGTATCAAAAGTGGATGGAAAAAATACACAGAGTCACGGTACCCAAAACAACAATAACAACAACAACAAAAACAGTTGGCATTCAATCATTTCATGGTAGCATATGAGCAAGAACTGGTACTAAAGGTAGAAGTTGAAGACCCACTGAAAGCATCAGCTAAAAATAAAGCTCCAGAAATTGATGGAATTCCAATTGAAATGCTTCGTCAAGTTCATGCAGTACTGGAACAATGTCCTTGTTTGTGCCAAGAAATTTAGAAGACAGCTACTTGGCCAAATGACTGGCATAGTTCCATATTAGCAAACCAATTCAAAGAAAGGAGACCCAATAGGATGCTCAAATTAGAGAACAATATCATTAATATTACATGCAAGTAAAATGTGGCTGGAGATCATGCAACAACGGTTGCAGCAGTATGTTGCCAAGGAGCTGTCAGAGGTTCAGTGTGGATTCAGAAGAGGGCATGAAACAAGGGATATACTTGATGATGTCAGATGGCTGTTGGCTGAAATCAGAGAATACCATAGATATATTTACTTGTATTTTATTAAATATGCAAAGGCATTCAACTGTGTGGGTCATAACAAACTATGGATAATCTGGAGAAGAAAGGAAATTCTTGTACACTTCATTGTGCTCCTGTGGAATTTGTACATGGATCAGGAGGCATTTATGAAAACAGAACAAGGGAATACTGCATGGTGTTAAATTAGGAAAGGTGTGTGTCAGGGTTGTAACCTTTCACTATATTTGCTCAATCTATATACTGAACAAATAATCAGAGAAGCTGGATTATATGAATCCTAATGTGGCATCAGGATTACAAGAAGTCTAATTAACAACGTGAGCTATGCAGCTGACAAACCTTGCTTGCTAAACGTCAAGATGACTCGAAGCACTTGCTGAGGAAGATCAAGGACTGCACCCCTCAGTATGGATTACAACTCACTATAAAGAAGACCAAATTCCTCACAAGTGGACCAGTAGATAACATATTGAAAACTGGAGAAAAGATTCAAGTTGTTGAGGGTTTGTCTTGCCTGTATACTCATGGAGGCAGCACTCAAGATATCAAAGTGTGCATTGCGTTGTGTAAATGTGCTTCACAGAGTTCTTCAGAGTGCAGAAAAGCAAGGATGTTTTTGAGGACTAAGATGAACCTGACCCAAGGCATGGTATTTCCATTGTCTCATATGCACGTGGAAGTTGGACATTGAAATAAGAAAGACTGAAAAAGATTGGATGCATTTGAATCATGATGTTAACAAAGAATATTGAAAGTACCATGGACTCCCAAAAGAACGAACAAATCTATCTTGGAAGAAGTACAGCGAGAATTGTCCTTAGAGGCAAAGATGGAAAGATTTTGTCTCACTTTGGACATACCAGGAGAGGCTATTCTCTGAAGAACATAGTGCTTATTAACATAGCAGGGCATTGAAAAAAATGGAAACCTTCAACAAGATGGCTTAATACAGCGTCTGCAACAATGTTTGGATGGTATTGGACTGAGCAGTGTTTTGTGCTGTTGTACTTAAGAGTCTCTATGAGTTAGAACCAGCTCTGTTGCTATGAGTTAGAACCAGCTCTGTTGTTGGTGCCTTTTAAAAAAGGTGCAATCAAAACAGAGGTTTCTAAGACAACATACTGAGCCAGTAATAGTCAAAGGACAGAGGTCAGCCCAGGAGATTATGGCAACTGCTTTTTAAGGATTCCAGTGAGTAATTTTTAAATTTTTCTTGTAGGAATCAGGACAAGGGACCTTATTAAGAAAAAGAATCAGAAAATTGAAAACTGCAATGGTGACAAAAAGACCCTTAAAATCACACTGTCGAAATATTTCCCATTACAACAAAGCTTCTACCCATTGTTTGAGTGTTGGAAAGGCTATCCTGTAAGAATTTTAATTGGAAACTTTTTCTAATCCAATGTACAGCACTGACATTTCTACCTCTTTCTGGTACCAACACATAAATAATATTTAAAGGGAAAACACATTTTATCTCCCCTAAACCAAACTCTCTGCCGACTGATAGAGACCCTGTTGAACGAAGTAGAGCTGCTACTGTGAGTTTCTGAGACTGCAATTCTTCATGGGAGTAGAACGCCCTGTCTTTCTCCTGAGCAGCTGCTGGTGACTGGTCACTGTGGACCTCGGGGATCACAGCCCCAGGCAAAACCACGACACCACCTGGATGCAAAAATTATCCTTGTGATGGGGTACTAAGATCCATTCCACTTTCTTTAGAATGGCTCATTTTAAGTTTAGCAGGACAGCGAATTTGGCCAATCCCCACATTGGTATATGCCTAACTTGCAATATCCCTCCTTACAATAGTATCATATACTTATTTAAAGCTATCTAATCTCCTTGGTGGACCACAAGCACCTTAGAGCTGCATAGTTTGACCCAGTCATTTGGTAGGAGTTACAAAGTCTCTAGCTAGAATGGCCATATCAAGTAATCCATAGCACTGCATCAGATCCAAATGATCATGTTTCAGTTATATAGCTCCTAAGGAATGAAAAAGTAATGGGTGATAAATTTAAGTACAAGGTATATGTGAGTGGTATAGGCATGGCAGAATATTTCAGAGTGCAGTCCTAGGGGGAAAAAATCAGTAAGTGGTCAAAGCAACACCTCAAAAGTGAAGAAGTAGCTTAAAGTCCTATTTGCATAGCATTTAAACGACATTAGTTATTATAAGTAATCTAAAGATGAATTAGGGGATATGGGGGGATATAGGTGATATGCAGATACTATGCCATTTTATAAAATGGACTTGAAAATCTATGGATTTTGTTATCTGTGGATTGTCATGGAACCAATGCCCCTGGATATCAAGGTCTGGCTGTATATGTTATAATTTCCACAGAATTAATAAAAATTATATTTTTTAAACCCCACTGACACTGAGTCCTATAAAAATCTTATAGGACAAGGTAGGACTTTCCCTGCGAGTTTCTGAGGCTACAACCCTTTATGGGAGTAATTTCAAACTACTGACCTTATATTTAGAAGACCAACACATAACATATATCATAACTGCTATAATACCATGGTTCCTTGAAAATCATATGTACCTTGTTATTACTGTATTACAATATATTAAATCTGGATTTTAAACACCTCTAGTGTTCTTTTAATTACTTGATAAATATCAATTCATAAACATCTCAAAATAACTCATAAAATATGTGCATACATACATATCATAATTATATATTCAACTCATTAGAATTATTTTGAGGTTAGTAACGTTCTCTCCTCCACCACCCCGCATGCCTCAATCCACAGAGGAAATAATCTCAAGACCAGAAATCTCTATTGAGTTACTCAAATTCAAATTGGTAAATTGGGTCCCTGTAGTTTTAACAGTATAAATAAGCTGCACCTTAAATTAAAGCATTTTATTCTTATTGGAATCTCTGTTATTCCCTGTTCTACATATATATCAGATATGGTGTTCAATGTCTACAACATATGACAAGTTTGTGGATTTCACTGTGATTATCCTCAATTATGAAATAATACAATAAAAGCACATTCCGACTTCTTTTCATTATTGTAAGATGGCCATGAGGATGACAACTGACTGTTGACTTCACAAGGGGGAATGAGGAGAAACTCTGCCAGCATTAGACCTTGACCTAGTGAGTTCGAGGTCAGACACTCCTCCACCCTCTTTCTTTACCTATTTCTTGCACAAACCATGCATCCCAACACATTCACTACTCTGCTGGCTTTGATAATTTATTGCAATGACCATACAGAACTCACAGATAATACAATTAGAAGATTTACTTTGGAAATTAACAGTTTAAAATTCATGATCAGAAGTAGTGAAGATACTGAATATCATCAGCCTAAACAACCAAAATACCTAAAAACAAAAAACAGATATATCCATTTTGTAATACAATTCATTTTCCTTTAGATTTAATGTTATTGGAGACAGGAAAACATGGAGGTAAATATACCTCAATAAAATTTTATATTCCTGGACAAGAGATACTAATGGTACTCTACATTAAAAAAAAACATTGTACAAGTAAGTCTTCTAAGAGATTTTGGTATATTCATTTTTTAATGTTCACTTTAGATTTAATGCTATTGGAGAAGGAAAACCATAAAGGTAAATATACCAAAATTAATTTTTATATTTCAGAATGAGAGATATCAATGATACCTTGCATTCAGTAAACAACCATTGTACAAGTCTTCTATGAGATTATCATAAAAACTTCTCAAAAATGATATCCTTCTTTCCAACTCTTCTCATTGCAATCCTGATTGAGGATTATTATATTTTTATTCAGATATAGAGCAAAGCATCTTTACTAGTTTCTAATCTTCTGCTTTCTTTTTCTTCAAATTCAGTGCCTACATTCTTTAAAATAGGGCAAAATAAATACTGAGTATTTGTAAAATGACTACCACGTGTCATTCGCCATACAAGAATGAGTGCTACCCTGGAGTTCAGATATCACAGTTATTTGCTATCTCCCTTTGAAATAACAACAATGTTGAAATGTTATAGAATTTCAATACATTTTATGTCTCCCCATATCTAGTTTTTTTTTCAGATAATTTTACTGGGAGTTCTTATAGCTCTTATACCAATCAATACATCAATTGTATCGAGAATATTTGTACATATGTTGTCATCATCATTTTATAAACATCTGCTTTCTATTTCAGCTCTTGGTATCAGCTCCTCTCTTTTTCCCTCCACCTGCTCCCACCCTCATGACACCTGGATAAATGATAATTATTATTATTTTCATATACTACACCAACCACAGTCTCCCTTCACCCACCTTTCTGATGTTCATCCCCCTGTGGGGTGGGATGAGGTTATGTTTCAATTGTTTCAATAAGCTCCCCGTTCCTCCCCTCCTTCCCCTTATTACCCCTGGTATTGCTATTCCCTTTTCTTTTCCTGAGGGTTTATCTGATCTGGATTCCATGTGTTGTGAGCTCTTATCTGTACCAGTGTACCTGCCAGAACTGAAAGTCAAGACTGGAGTCATGATAGTGGGGGGTGAGGAATCCTCAAAGAACTAGATTAAGATTGTGTGTTTCATCGGTTTTATACTGCACCTCATCCCTTCCTTGTGACCCTTCTGTGAGTGGATGTCCTGTTGTCTACAGATGGGTTTTGGGTCTTTGTTCTGATCCCCCTCATTCTCAACAATATGTCTTTTTGTTGTTCTGGGTCTTCTGGTGCCTCTTACTGATCCTGTCGACACCTCATGATCTCACAGGCTGGTGTTCTTCTTCCATGTGTGCTTTGTTTTTTCCCAGCTAGATGGCTGCTTCTTTATCTTCAAGTCTTTAAGACACCAGATGTTATATCTTTTGATAGCCAGGCACCATCAGCTTTCTTCACTACATTTGAAGGCACCCATACTGCCTTCAGCAATCCTGTAGGGAGGGTGACTGTGATAGGTAGGTTTGTTGTGCCAATATGGCCAATGAACAAATGTGGGATTAATTGAAGTGTGGAGAGATAAATGGCTCAGTGAGCCTTGCCTTTCTTGTCTCTTGCTCTTTGATAATCGTAGTGTGTGGCAGCCTTAGCTTGTTCTCTGCCTCAATTTGCAAGCTACACTACCTTTGGGACACCTAACCCATGGACTGTTTTGCTGTAGTTTGAAGTTCCTTCAAGACCTGCTTCACCATTCTACTGGTGAACTGGGGACTATTGGATGCTGTCATCTGGCTGACTGTTGGTGACTTGTCTTGCTGTCTGCTGCCTGTGACCGGATAGCCTGAGTTGCTCTAGGGAGGACAACCTGGCAGCCCTCAAGGCTTGAAGGACTGCCAGTGTCTCTCAACTGTCTCACGGGAGTGAGTTGCACTGAGACTTTTCTACTGCTTTATAGATTAATTCTTTATTTCTTACGTTATCTATCTATATAATTATAAAAAAATTATTAGTGTCCTTGTTTTGTTTCTCTAAAGAACCCTGTCTAACATAACTGGTACCAAGAGTGGTTCTAGAGAAATAAAATCAGAAATATGAGCTTTTTAAATTGGCTCTCCAGACTGATTAGGTTTAAGAGCACTGATAATGCTATTTCTATATCTAAAGGCATGGATAAGTCTGCCACTCTTACTAATCCATTGTGTGAAGTAGCAAAGCTAATATCTATAGTATCACCACCAATAGATGAAGTGCTGATTAAAGGAGAGGCTCTGGGTGATCGTATGTTTTATATTTTCCAGAAGTTTTGTCAGGATGACAAGTACAGGGACGTTGGTTGACTGGATGGTCAGGAAATTGGAAGGAACATGATTGGAAAATTGGTGACAAGGTGGTGTGGGGAAGAGGTATGTGGATAAACCTCTCTGAATGGGCTAAGAAAGTAAAGATAATCGTGTCTCATGTGAATGCTCACCAAAGGGTTAACTCTGAAGAGGAGGACTTTAACAATAAAGTGGATAAGATGACACGCACTGTGGAGACTGGACCACCTCTTTCCTCTGGCACTCCTGTTATCGCCCAATGGGCACCTGAACAAAGTGACATGGTGGCAGGGATGGAGGTTATGCATGGGCACAGCAACATGGACTTCCACTCACCAAGGCTGACTTGGCCACTGCCACTGCTGAGTGCCCCATTTGCCCGCAGCAGAAACCAACATTAAGTCCAAGATATGGGACCATTCCTCGGGGAGATCAACCAGCAACTTGGTGGCAGGTTGATTACATAGGACCACTTCCATCATGGAGGAGACAGTGTTTTGTTCTTACCAGAATAGACACCTACTCTGGATATGGATTTGCCTTCCCTGCACACAATGCTTCTACCAAAATTACTATTCATGGACTTACAGAATGCCTCATCCACCAGCATGGCATCCCCCATAGCATTGCTTCAGATCAAG